GGGGGGGGCAGTACGAAAACCCAGAAAAGGTGGGAAAATGATGGGAACTCTAGGATTTATGTCGTCTTATTTGTGTGTTCCTGGGCCCCTTTCAATTGGGGGCTATAGAGGATCAGGAGGCGTCGCCGACAAATGGCAGGGCATCTGCGTGCTCTTGCCCCTCGTCCGCCTCGGGCGGCCCCGTGGGTCTGGGCTCGGCCGAAGAGTCGAGAGCAGCCTCGAGGTCGGGAGACGGAGCAGGAGCGGGTGGTAGGATCGGGCCGGACGAAAGGGGGGGATTGGGAAAGGGGGGGGTACGAAATCTGCTGCACGCAGCTGGTTTCGGCCCCACCGAGGGGCCCATTCCTCGATACAATGGCCGCCTCCGGCGCCGGGAGGCGCCGGGAAAAGCAGCTGCGTGAGCTGATTCTCGAACCCCCCCTGTGCTATCCTCCCCTGTCGCCCGGCCCGAAGGAAGCGGGGCCGCTCGGGGTCGGCGCGGGTGGCGGCACCGGGCACTGCGGGCGAAGTCCGGAGCCCCGCCTTCCTCTACGCCGGGACAGGCGTCCCCCTCCACGCAGCACGGGTAGCCAGGGAAGCCCGGAATTCGTCCTCCCCCGAGGTCATATCAAGCGGCAGCGTGCAGTCGTCAGATGCACGGCACACACGGCACACCGAGTGAAAGGCACTTCCAGAACAGCGCATGGCACGAGGCGGTTGGAACTGTTTTCATTTCGGATGTACGCCATTCGTCCCGCTCCTTGACAGGCCCCATGCGCACCGCGACCGAGGGAACAGCGGCCCCGACTAGGCGTGTCCATCAAGCGGTTGTGCAGAGACGCCATCCGCAGTGCCAAGATACAAGTAAGGGCACACTTGGCCGTGCTCGCGCTGCTCGAAGTCGGACACAATGGCAGCAGGGGACGCCATGACTGCACGCAGGGGGTGGGACATAGAAACGAGCCAGAACTGCAGACAACCGCCACTCCACGCGCACATTGTGCTCTATCCGGCAGGACGAACCGGCTGCGAGATGGACCCAGATAGTTCGATCATGGCGCCAGGGAGTTCGTTCCAGATAAGGTTAAATCGGGCGCGTCCCTCTACAGTGGGAACATTCAAAGCTAGTCAAACCATAGTTTGGGGACGACTTTTCTATATTCTTTGACAACGTTTGAGCACTTGTTGTCTACTTCGAGTTCTTCCTACACAATGCGCCTGTATGGGGACATGCCCGACCTCACGATAGGGAGAGGTCGTGGTTCGGACCCGGCACGGCATCAGTCTGCGCGCCGTCTTGCGGAAGGCTCCCACTCCGAGGGTCGAGAGGGGTACAGCCGGGGCGCTGAAGAAGGAGCCCTTTTCGTTGGGGAGGGGCTCGGTGTTCCTCGATTGCTTCACAGCTTGCTTCAGGTTTTCCCGAAGTTGTCGATGGGACATCGAAGTTCCACTTCTGGGGCAAAAGGGGCCTCGTTCCCTATCTAGGGTTCCTTAGGTCAACGCCCCGACTGTACTCTTGTTTCGACCGCCGCCCTCCCCAGCGAAGGGAGGCCCCTCCCCGAGTCCCGGGCGGCCCAGCGCGCAGACACTCGGGCTTGGCTTCATGGGGGGGTCACAAATGGGGGGGTCAGAAAAGGTCCCTTCTCGTGCCCCTTTCAGGCCCCTCCAGAGCCCCAGGGGGCTCGTTTAGGTACTGTTTGGGTACCTTTTCGAACCACCCTCGCCACCGCCCCATTTATGACCCCCCCATTACGCGGCGCCCAAGACACGAGGGCGGCGGCCGGCGCGAAGCGCCGCCAGGCTGGACGCGCACCGTCCTCGAGAGGGCGCCAGGCCAGTGGCCTCCTCGGCGAGCAGGGGCGATGCACGCGAGAGTCCGCGAGGAGAGGAGGGGGAGGAGGAGGAGGAGGAGGAGGAGGAGGAGGAGGAGGAGGAGGAGGAGGAGGAGGAGGAGGAGGAGGAGGAGGAGGCGGAGGAGGAGGAGGAGGAGGAGGAGGAGAGGAGGAGGAGGAGGAGGAGGGGGAGGGGAGGGAGGAGGAGGGGAGGAGGAGGAGGAGGAGGAGGAGGAGGAGGAGGGAGGAGGAGGAGGAGGAGGAGGAGGAGGAGGAGGAGGGGGGAGGAGGAGGAGGAGGAGGAGGAGGAGGAGGAGGAGGAGGAGGAGGAGGGGGAGGAGGAGGAGGAGCAAGCAGAGTTCCTTTCAAGATTTCAAGAAACCCTACCAGGCAGCCTTTGGCATTCGTCCACGCCTCAGCGTGCCAGGAGGCACGGTGGCGGATCCACGCACGCACGCGCAAGACAGAACATAGCACGACGCGTGGGGTCTGCCATGATGTTGACCTGCACCGGCCGCTCGGGACGATTCGGGCCCCCCTGAGCGCTCTCTGCGAGGCGCAGTTGCTAGAGGGCATCCCGAGGAGGGAAAACTTCACAGAGCCGACGACACCTTACGATGACCGCCGAGCATCGCCCCTCGAACGGGACGCTTCCCGAGCCGCTGCCCGCCCCCTCAGGTCGGAGCGCCGCCGGGTGCACGAGCAGCACGGCGAGCCGCTTCTCTGCACAGAGCACGTGCTCCCTTGAGGGGACGTGCGAAGGTTCCTCCGCGCCCTCCCTCCGAGGGAAGGAGCACGCTGACCACGACCAAGACGTCGCGGGATCTTGCCGACGCCGATTCTGGCCATGGTCCGTGCCAGCCGCTGCTCAGCGAGCGAAGAACGGTATAAAATAAACTGTTTCGCCGTCGGGGGCGCCTGTCCCAGGGCGGCTGGAAAGTTTATACCCCTACGGTGCCACCGTAAGGGTATAAGTTTTCCAGCCGCCCTGGGACAGGCGCCCCCGACAGCGAAAAAGTTTATGTTATACCGTTATTCGCCCGTTAAGTTGCCGATTCGCAAGGCTGACCCACGAATCGACGGTGGCCAAGACGGGTTTTCACCAAGGTCGGCACCGACGGCTCCATGTTCAGTCTTGGCCATGGTCTTCGCTGTCTTTCACTCCACTTCGTTTCGGCTCGGAGCCGGCAGGGGGGCTGAGATGGCCCAGCCCTGGTGCTGGCCAGCAGAAGGGGGGGACTGGGGAGGAAGGAGCTTCATCGTCGGCACCGTTGCACGCGGCTCGAAGCACGCATCAGATGCGACCCCGCGAGAGCTCTGGGGGCCCATGTGGATCGAGCTTGTCCTCGTTCCTCCCCCCCCTTGTCTGGGCTTAAGTTATCCAGCTTGGGCCCCGCTGGCGCCTCCAGAGGACGAGGGTACTCGCGGTCCCGTCGTCTCGGCTGCCTCGCAGTCGTTTGGCGCTCGGTCGGCTCGGTCGGTCGGCCGGTGCCGTTCGCTGCCGCGCCGCGGGGCCCACTCGGAGCTGCTCGCGGCTTGCCGGCTTCGGCCGTCTGTTCGGCTGCGCCATCGCCGCGGGCGGCCTCGGAAGAGGAAGTCCGAGCTCGGAGCTCCAGGGTCCTTCGGTAGCAAATCATGGGAGCCTGGTGTACCCCAGATTTCGTAATAAAGGGAGGGGGGTCTCATTTCGGGTGGGGGGTCTCTTCCAGGCTATCTTGGAGGGCCTGGGGGGTCTGGGGACGATGTTTTGGAGGGTTCTCCCACGGGGGAGGTCTGAAATGGCTTGTCTTGGAGGGTCCAGACCCCCTCCCTTTTATTACAAAATCTGGAGTACCCTCTTGATTATGTCTTTGGCGCCGATTCGCGTCGATAAGCGTCTGGGAGTCGACGGGGTATCGCCGACTCAGCTTCGGCTAGCGGCGATGTAGCGTCGATTCAGCGACGACTGGCGTCGATTCGCAAGAGCCGGCAAGATGGTATGGGAGTCGGGCCGGACGAAAGGGGGGGAATGGGAAAGGGGGGGTTACGAAATCTGCTGCATGCAGCTGGTTTCGACCCCACCGAGGGGCCCATTCCTCGATGCATAGCCGCCTCCGGTGTTGGGAGGCGCCGGGAAAATCAGCTACGTGAGCTGATTCTCAAACCCCCCCTTTGCTATCCCCCCCTTTCGCCCGACCCGAGGGGGGCTCCCATGAGTTGCCACCGAAGGATTCGTGAGCATGCTCCATCGCGGGGGCCGCTGCCGGGGGGCATCACCCTCGAGGTGGGCTGCAGGCAGGGAGAGGAGGAGAGGATCGAGGAGGAAGAGCTTGAAGGGGGATCGAGGAGGAAGAGCTTGAAGGGGGATCGAGGAGGAGGAGGAGGAGGAGGATCGAGGAGGATCGAGGAGGATCAAGGAGGAGGAGGAGGAAGAGCTTGAAGGGGGATCGAGGATCGAGGAGAGAATCGAGGAGGAGGATCGAGGTTATGTAGAGGGGGGCTTGGCCCAAGGTGGGCTCAAGGGAGCGAGCCAAGCTTGAGGCTGATACTTCCCTCTTCCAGGATCTGCTCAGAGCAAGTTTCCTCCAACCCCACCTCTGCCCCTAACCCACCTTTACGTTTACGACCCCCGAATGGAGAGTGAGGCATCAGGAGGGGGAGGAGGAGGAGGAGAGGAGGAGGAGGAGGAGGAGGAGGAGGAGGAGGAGGAGGAGGAGGAGGAGCATGATGCGCGCGAAGGCTTCTCGACGCCCTCGCCGCGCCAGATGTCTCCTCGCAGCAGCTACGGCAGGGAATCGCTCAGCATGTCGTGTACCCCGCGGCCTGGGGCACTGACGCTCGCGGACGCCGTCAGGCAGCGCTCGTCGTGCGGCTCCCGCAGCTCGCCCCTCGCCTCCGTGGAGCCATGGGGGAAAGGTGTCGGCTGCGGGCGAGGGGGTGAAACGAGAAGGAGGAGGCCTTCTCAGGAGGTGGCGGGGCTTACCAGAAGCCCTCCAGCGTTCCGAGCTGTTGTTGCGTCTCCCAGGAAGGCCCGGAAACTGTGTCTGAAGGCCCGATGCCTTTTTTGGAGCCCTCTGAGAAGGCCTGGCCCCGTCTCACGTCCCTCCTGGGCTCGCCGCCTAAGGCCTAAGGGAGGATCGGGTCGGGCGGAGGAAGGCATTCGTCAAGCAGTGGCGAAGCGTCCTGGCTCGCCTATAGCCCCACCAGACAACGTTCTAAGGACCTTTGGTGGCTTCCACGAAATGTTCTTAGAACATTTCTGGCGGAGATTGTCTTGTTTTAACACATCTGGTTTGTGTTCTAAGAACATTGTTTTTGTTCTCAGAACGTTTTTGGGTTCTAAGAACATTTCGTGGTAGGACTATAGAAATGCTGGGACGGCCGGTCCCTGCTCAAATTCGGGAGTGGACAGAACCCCCGCCCTGACACGTCGATTAGTGAATTGTCCGCTTTCGGTTCTCGAGAGGGCGCCGCGGCCGTCATGTTTCGGGCTTGCGCCCGCCAGGTTTCGCCCCGAGGCCGCTTTCACCACGCCGCGTTTTGCTGAAGAGGGTCCTGTCCATCCCCGCACAATTGATCCTCGATTCCCCAGAGAATATGGGAAAATATGGGAAGTGGGGGGGAAGACAGAAACCCAGAAAAGATTGGAAAATATTGGGAATCGTTTTCTTTGTGTGTATTTCTTTGCGTGTCCCAGGGCCCCTTCAGTCAGGGGCGGCCTCACCGCCCCCCAGCAAAAGCCAGGGCTGAACCTGAGCGGTGTGTTGCTGCACCCTGGCTGTGTTTTGTGTTTCGTTTTGGGAGGGAGGTAGAGGAAAACAGGCAGGGCACAACGACGAACAAGACGTAAACAAAACGAACAACAACTTAAACAACCTTCAGGTCCAGCCCTGGCAAAGACCGCCCCCTTCCGTGACATGCCCCTCGCCTCGCCCCAAGGCGTAGGCGTGTCCCGTCGGAGGGAAAGCGGAAAGGCGAGGGTGACGTCACGGAAGGGGACGGTTTGCCAGGGGTCGGTGAGGCCGCGCCCGACCCTTTCGGGGGCAACGATCGGGGAGGGGGGGGGGGGGTAGGCATAGGGGGGGACGCATCGACCCCCCACCGCCGATTGATCGCCGATATGGGCCCGATAGCCCAAATCTCAAGCAGTTGCGAAGCGTCCCGGCTCGCCTATAGCCCCACCAAACAATGTTCTAAGAATCTCTTGTGGTTCCCACGAAATGTTCTTGGAACATTTCTGGCGGAGCCTGCCGTGTTTTAAAACGTCGGGTGAATGTTCTAAGAACATTGTTTTTGTTCTCAGAACATTTCTGGGTTCTAAGAACATTTCGTGGTAGGACTATAGGAATGCCGGGACGGTCGGTCCCTACACTCCAGGCGATGCTTAAGAAAACCTAAGTTTTCGGCCAGAGTCTTGATTATTCTTAACTTTTCAATGTAAATCCCAAGATTTTGATAGAAGTTCTGGGTTTTTATTCCAGTTCTGAGACTCTGAATTTCTTAACCCATGATTTCTTAAGCATTTCGCAGGGTGTACTCGAAAACCTGTCCAGGAAGGTGCGTTTTCACACTCTCGGAGGCCCGTCGCCGATCCATCGGCGATGTAGCGCCGATTCCAGGCACAGGCGTCCCCCCTGTGCCGGTCCCCCCCCTATCGAGGAGGAGGAGGAGGAGGAGGAGGAGGAGGAGGAGGAGGGGGAGGAGGAGGAGGAGGACGAGGAGGAGGAGGAGGAGGAGGAGGAGAAGTAGGAGGAGGAGGGAAGAGGAGGAGGGGGAGGACGAGGAGCACGAGGAGGACGAGGAGGACGAGGAGGAGGAGGAGGAGGAGGAGGACGAGGAGGAGGCTGTCCTCGCCGCCTCCCTGCCTCGAGGCGGGCCCGCCCTCGGGCGCCCCGGGCCGGCGGGTAGTTTTTTTTTTTGGTTCGGGGGTGGACAGGCCTCCTGCCCTGACACGTCGATGCACACTTAACTCGAGAGTCCACACGGTGCAGTGAACCAGTAAAGTATTTGGAGTTGACAACTCCACTGCTCGCGCGAGCATTGCAGCCTCCCACCCGCAAATTGTTTGGCAAAGCCCAGTGGAGTTGACAACTCCACTGGCCGCGCAAGCGTGCGCACGTTTCGGAGGTTGATGGATCTCCTACCCGGACACGTCGATTTAAGGAATTGGTTGTTTTCGGTTCGCGAGAGGGCGTCGCGGCCGTCATGTTTGGGGGTCCAGGCCCGTCGGTTTCGGTCCCAGGCCGCGTTCACTGAGGGGAGGTTTGCGAAAGGGAGGCTTGTCCACCGCCGATTTTTGTCGGAGTGGAAGAGCCTTGGGGGGGGGGGGGGGGGGGCGAGCCCCGAGAGGGCTCCTGGGGCCGATTTCGTTCGGGCCGGACGAGACAGGGTAGGGTAGGTCGGGAGCCTTGAGACGGGGGTCAGTGCAAACGGGGGTCAGCCAGGGCACCGGATCCTGCAGGATCCTGCGAAGACCCCCTCTGGCTGACCCGGGTTAGCGAGCCGCTCGTGGCCGCGAGGTGGCCGCGCATATTGGCTGACCCGGGTTTGCGAAGGCCTGCGTTACAGTTCTTTTTCTTGCATTGCAGTTTTTTGATTTCCTGCTGACCCGGGTCTGGATTGACCCGGGACAGAAGATCCCCGAGTAGGGACAGCGGGGGGGAGTACGAGATCGGCTGCATGCAGCCGGGCCCGCTCCTCGATGCATGGGCGCCTCCCCGCGCCTGATTCTCTACCCTACCCTTTGCCATCTTAGCCTTTCGTCCCCCCGATGTTTGCGGATCTGGGCCGGGCGTGCCGACAGCGTGAACGTGAGTGCAGCGGCGCTACCGCGGCCCACTAGGGGTTGCCCATTCGTTTCGCTCTCCTCGCTCGTTCCGTCGCAAGAAAATCTGTCCATGGACACCCATTCAGTAGCTTGTTCCCGGGCCTCAGAAGGGGGGTGGCGGTGTATGAATCACCACTGAGAGCCAGCGATGTTCTACAACGCCGCCCTCCCTGAAGGCACAGGGGAAACTCGTCGGCGAGTGTCTGTGCATAGACGTTCGTGGCGTGTCTGTGCCGGCGCGGGGTGGGGTTGGGCCCTGTCGCCACGGCGGGGCGCGTCTCGGAGAACAGGCCGGCAGGCTGTCTGGGCGTGGTCTGGGGACGGGTTCTGAGCGGACTCTGGCGGATGGGGGGAGCGGAGAGGTTTAGGGAAAAGGGGCAGGGGCAGTGAGGGCTCTGGGGGCGGACTGGGGGGGACACAGAAGGCACTACCATAGACCAGAATTGCAGAGGTCTGGAGCAAGAGATGGACGTACGTTGGGATCGGTATGTTGGGAGGGCCTCGTTGTTCAAGAGGCGAAGCTCACGACGATCGAGCAACCGCTGATCAATAAGCGTACCAGCACAAGAAATGTTCACCTGCGTGGACCCCAAACAGTGGGCTACTGCACTCGATGCGCACTTAACTCGATAATCCACGTGGTGCAGTTAACCAATGAAGTATTTGGAGTTGACAACTCCACTGCTCGCGCGAGCATCCCAGCCTCCCACCCGCAAATTGTTTGGCAAAGCCCACCCAGCCACGACTGCGGTTAACTACTGTCTGGGATTTGCTAGCGCGACTTCATACGGCCGCGCAAGCGTGCGCACTTTTCGGAGGTTGATGGATCTCCTACCCTGACACGTCGATTAAGGAATTGGCCGTTTTCGGTTCGCGAGAGGTTGTCGCGGCCGTCATTTTTGGGGGTCCAGGTCCGTCGGTTTCGGTCCTAGGCCGTTTTCACTAAGGGGAGGTGTGTCCACCGCCGAACGTTCGCGGTCAGAGCGAACAGCTGGTTTAGCATAGCTGGTGCGGCCGTGATGGCCCTCACCGCTGGGAGCTTCACAGCGCGTCTCAAAGGCCGCGCTGGCGGGCGGGCATTTCCGTGTGGGTCGGTAATTCGGGCGGGCGCGACATGATAACGTCGACAAAGGCGGCAACGATGCTGCGATGACGACGATATGGTGGGGACGACGATGACTAATGGTGGTTGTGTTGATGATGACGGCAATGGCGGCGATTGACGACGACGGCAACGGCGGTGTTGCGAAGACGTTGATGAGGGTGATGAGGAAGTGCTCGCGCAGGAGTCCAATACATCTGGCGGACTGTTGGTTGAAGTAACCAAACTGTGCTTGCAGCTCGGGTCTCTTACTTGCGTTCTAAGGGATTGGGTGGGTTACCCAAGGATCCGCCACGCTTCGGCCAGCCGCCGCCCCGCTGCCGCCCGTTGCCGCCTGCGGTGGTTCCCGCGGACCCGCCACGCTCCAGCCCGTTGTCGCCCCTTGCCAGCCGTTGCCGCCTGTGGGCGTATCCCGACGACTTGCCACGTTTTGACCCACTGTTGCCCGTTGCCGGCCGTTGCCGCCTGCGGGGGTATCCCGAGGATTCGCCATGTCCTGGCCCGTTGCCGCCTGTGCCGGCCGTGGCAGCTTGTGGGGGTGTCCTGAGGATGCGTGACTGCGCCTGCGGGGTGCCCCGAGGACCACATTAGCTTGCAACGCATAGCTTGCGACGCGTAGCTCGCACTGCATTGCTTGCACAACATAGTTTTCACCACCTAGCTCACACCACATATATATATATATATATATATGTAATTATGTGCATATTATATATATATATACATATATATATATACATATATACACATATGAATCGGAGTAGGCATCGAATTCGGTCGGGGGGAGGGCCGGACCATGGCCCAGGGTTGGCATGGGGGCCCCGGGCGGCCTATGGGGGCCCCGAGGGCTGCGAAGCGGCGAGCAGAGGTCGGAAAGTGTCAGAAGGTTGGGTGGTTCTGCGACGCAACCCGTAGGCATCAGTCGAAGTTTCATTTGTTCAGCCTGCGGGGCCCAGCTGTCTCGACCTTTCACCCGTGGGGGGGAATTTCCGTCCCGTTTCCATGTTCGAAAGCATCAGGGCCCCAAAACGGGCTTTGGATACCGAAATCGAGGAAATCAATGCCAGTGAGCGTCCGTGGGGACTTGATCTGGGATGTTCCATCACGTCTTGCTGCCTCGGCCCAACGCCCAGAGTGCGTTGCGGGTCCGTTTCGAGTGCGTTTGCTGGGGTGTATACATGTACGCTTCATATATGTCTGTACATAGAAAACTGTAGCTGCATCGGTGCATGTTCATGTGTATTTATATACATACGGGAAGTGGGGGGGAAGACAAAAACCCAGAAAATATGGGAAACTATAGGGAATAGTTTTATTTGTGTGTATTTATTTGTGTGTCCTTGGGCCCCTTGAAGGAGGTGAGGTGAGGTGGGATACGCGGTGTGCTCCGGATGAAACACGAGGACCCAACAGGATGGTCGGGGTAATCAAGACCCTTGGTTGGCGTACGCATTGCAAGTACTGTCTGGGACAAAACCAGCTCGGCGGCGGAAATTCCTCTTCTTGAGTGACGCTGGGGAACTTGCATGTTGCGGATCCCCTCTGCAGGAGTCCATTGAAGATTTGGGGTTTGCCCAGTACGTGTCCCACTTCAGCCCAGCTCAGGAACCGCTTGTGCCTCATCAACGCAGCGACACACAGTTGGTCATGCACCCGGAATTGGTGATGCCCCACGCGCACATCCATCTTGCTATACCTGCAAGGCTCTTGGAAAACAAAGTGTTTACTTTGGATGTCCTTGGCCTCTCTGGTGCACCTTTATTAGGTGCATCTGTGGTTAGCGAGGAGGATGGAACTCGGACAATCCGAATATCACAGCCATTCACTGGCAAGATTCTAGCATCCTGCAACTCGTCATTAGAGCTCTTAGGGCCAAATTCTGAAAGAGTTGGCAACGTTTGTGCAAGCGCGCGCCGTGACAAGGAGTTCTGCCTGAAGGACGCGAGTGGTACTTGTCGCCTTTTCCTCAGGTGGGAAGTCGAGGGCCAAACAATGAGCATCTTGAGTTCGGCGCACGGTGAGGGCGCAGCAGACATCGGCACGCTGGAATTGAAAGAGCCAGGGAGGCTGCCTCGTCGACACTACGAAATGGTGGTGCGCCCAGGGGTAGATGCAGTTCCTCCACTGGCCAGCTTTCTTGCGCTGATGGTGTTCATCAACCCGGTGGAAGGTATCCGACGTGCGGCGCCCCGTTCCCGCCAGGCCACCCCACGTGGCTTGCGAGCCTTCGAGGAACTGTCGTGGTGCCGTCTGGTGCCGCCCAGGTTTTTTATTTTATTTTTTGTGTTTTGTTTTTTGTTTTTGTTTTTAATCGATAAACCAAACATTTCGAGGTCGTGCTGGGCGTCCCGGCACGATCGTGGGACCGCCGTGGACCTTCCTGGGCTCGGGGGCGGAAACGAGGGGGGTGATGACTGGGGGGCGGTGGATATCCTGGCGGGGGCCATGAGATCTCCCCAGATTTCATGGCGCCTCTTCTTGTTTCCTTACGTCCCTGCCCCCCCCGCTGGGCCGCGCACATGCTGCCGGTCATGATTTGCCCACCCCCCTCTTGGACACCCCCGAGAGGAGGGAGGAGGGAGGAGGAGGGGGGAGGAGGAGGAGAAGGAGGAGGGAGGAGGAGGAGGAGAGAGGAGGAGGGGGGAGGAGGAGGAGAAGGAGGAGGAGGGAGGAGGGAGGAGGGAGGAGGCACACCCCCCTCTTGGACACCCCCCTCTTGGACACCCCGCGCTTGGCCGCTCCCGAGGGGCGGCACCCTGGCTCCCACGGCGGCCGTCTTGGGGCACCTCGGAGGCGCCCGGAGGCCGCCGCCGGGGCCACCGGGCTGCTCTCTCGGGGGCACTCGGGGGCCCTCGCGGGGGCAGCTTGGAGCCATTCGACTAGACGTAGGAGTGACCTTTCGCCAGAGTGACCTTTAGTGCGGGTACTCCAGATTTCGTAATAAAAGGGAGGGGGTCTGGACCCTCCAAGACAAGCCATTTCAGACCTCCCCCGTGGGAGAACCCTCCAAAACATCGTCCCCAGTCCCCCCCAGGCCCTCCAGGATAGCCTGGAAGAGACCCCCCCCGAAATGAGACCCCCCTCCCTTTATTACGAAATCTGGAGTACTGATGGGCCCCCAGGGCCGAACGCGAAGCGGTAGCAGCGGCTAGCGCGCCGAGATTTGGCCTCCCCGCGGCCCCCCCAAAAGCCGCGCACCAAAGGTCACTCTTAGCCAGGGTCACTCTTACGTGTAGCCGAGCCATCTTGAGCAGCACTGGATTCTCTACGGGCCTTCCTGGGGCCACCTTGGGGCGTCTCGAGGGCGAAGCAGAGACGGCGAGGGCAATCCATACGACGAGATGTGCTGCAGTGTGGTGGGCCCGCTCACGGCCCTACGGGGACAGAGTTGGGGAGGCTTGGATCTTTCATGGCCTGACTTCGGGGGGGCCTCTTGGGCTGTCTTGGGCTCTCCAGTCCTCTGTAAAGCGTCTCGGGGCATTTGCGGAGGCTCTTGGGCACTGCCGTATGGCGGCGACCTTGCGGGGAACTTGATATTGGTAGGGCGCTCGGATTTTTGAACCCTTTGCGGACAGCAGAAAGACGAGAGGACAGCAGAAAGAAGAGAGGATTGGCCAGACTGCAGACAAGAGACAGGAGAAGTCGAGGACAAATTATCCAGGCGAATGAACCAAACATCTGCAGCTGTGAGTCCGCAAGGCAGGTGAGGCGAAGGATGCGGCGAGCAAACTACGAATAGCGTCGGAAGCCGCCCTCTCCGCAGAAAGGACACAGCACAGGGCAGCGTGCAAAGGTGGCGGCGGACGGACCACGAGGTCCCTGTAGGGCGAGCGATATGAGAGTCGCGGGCGAATGCGAACGTTGCCACTGGGGCCTTCGGCGGAGCTCTCTATGGGGCCACAAGGGGTGTGAGGGTTGGTCCGAAACGAGAGGTGCGGACGCATGCGAACGCTGTCACGGGCCGTCGGAGGAGCTCTTTACGGGGCCACGAAACGTTTGAGAGGCGTACCGACATGAAAGGCGCGGACGCTTGCGAACGCTGCTTTGGCCTTCGGTGGAGCCCCCCACTGGTGCCACAAGGCGTGCGAGGGGTGTGCCGAAATGAGAGGCGCAGACGCATGCGAGCGCTGCTAGTGTGACCTCCCCAATGGTGCCACGAAGCGTGTGAGTGGCGTGCAGAAGCGAGAGGCGCTGGCGCGTGCGAGCTTTCCCACTGGGGCATTCGGTGGAGATCCCGCCGAAATGAGACCTCCCTATGGGGACACGAAGCGTGTAATGGGGGTGCCGAAACGAGAGTCGCGGACGCATGCGAACGCTGTCATTGGGACCTTCGGTGGAGCTCCCTATGGGGCCACGAAGCGTCTGAGAGCGGTGTGCCGAAAGCAGAGATCCTTACATGGCCGCGAAGTGAATGAGGGGTGTGCCGAAATGAGAGGCGCGGACGCATGCGAGCTCTGCAATTGTGGCCTTTGGTGGAGCCCCCCAATGGTGCCACGAAACGTGTTAGGGATGTGCGGAATGAAAGGCGCGGGCGCATGCGAACCTTGTCACTGAGGCATTCCTTGGAGCCACCGTATGGGGCCACGAAACGTGTGAGGGGTGTGCCGAAATGAGAGGCGCGGACGCATGCGAACCCTGCCACCCCTGGCCTTCGGCGGAGCCCTCCAATGGTACCACGAAACGTGTGAAGGAGGGCAGAGTCACAGATGGGAGGAGGGAGGAGGGAGGAGAGGAGAGGAGGAGGAGGAGGAGGAGGAGGAGGAGGAGGAGAGAGGAGGAGGAGGGGAGGAGGAGGAGGAGGAGGAGGGGAGGAGGAGAGGAGAACGTGGGGCAGCATCGTTTCAAAAAACGAAGGCCCCGCACCACAGGCCAGCTGGGAATCACTGCACGAGTACACCTTGTCTGAGGTCCGCGCGGAGTTCGTGCACCGGCGCTGGACCCCCTCCCTGGCGCTGCGCAAGGGGGGCCCAGCGCCGATCGGGGAAGTGCGTGCGGACCTCCGACGGTTTCGTATACGTGACTGTTGTTGTCTGTTCCTCTAAGAAGAAGCGGGAGGCTTGAGGGGCCCAGTTTCCACCACCACTACCATAGGTAGGAGGAGGAGGAGGAGGAGGAGGAGGAGGAGGAGGAGGAGGAGAAGGAGGAGGCGGAGGAGGAGGAGGAGGAGGAAGGAGTAGGAGGAGGAGGAGGAGGAGGAGGAGGAGGAGGATCAGGAAAGGGAGGAGGAGGAACAGGAGGAGCAGGAGGAGGAGGACCTCATCCTCCCTTTCCCCCCCCGTCCTAAGTATGGTATTGGTGGTGGAAAGTAATTAGCCCATCAAGACTGGAGACAGTAGCAAGACAGCATTTCAGCAAACACCTCAACAGTCTGGCGCTCCCAGGGGGCATAGGGGATCTACTTCCACAAGCAGCCAAGCAGTCCATGAGGACCAGCTGGCGATGGCGGGAACTGGTAAGGCTTCGGGCTGCGCACAGACAGCCCCCCCAAGTAACTAGTTCGGGCTGGCCTCAGTAGGCCCCCCGAGTAGTCCAGGGCGGTCTCAACACCCTGGCGCCACTTCTGGCGACGCCCCTGAGGTGTTCCACGCCCCAGGATTGGAATGTGGAGACCGCCCTGGATTACTCGGGGGCCTACTGAGGCCAGCCGGGACCACCTGGGGGGCTGTCTGTGTGCAACTTGCAGCGTTACCAGCGGGAGTTCACCATCAGGAGGCCGCTGTGGCTGATGCCGCCGTTGGGATCCACGATTTTAGGTGTAGTGAATGCTTGCCGGTTGCATTTTGAAATTCGGAGCGAATCACCACGTCGTGAGTAGTTTTAAGAATTGCCCGTCAGCAAGAAACGAAACGCTACAGCATATCTGATCGGCTGGTTACGTACGGTGATTCGCATCTGTGTCGTTCAGTATTCATTTTCTTGTAGTGATGACTCACTCCAACACCCACTGAACTTGCAGATAGTAGAATACTCGCAAATGTACTTCGATTTAGGCAGTAGTATAGGATTAACTGCCTTGCGATTGCCGTTGGCAAAGCGCGCTGATTGCAATTCGTTCGCAACCTCAAGAGAAGGTTGTCGCATGGTTGCCAAGGCCCTCGTTCGGAAATGAGTGCTCACAACCATGATCCAGGCATTCATGGAACAAGACTGCTTATCTGGCATCGGCTGCCGCGCTGGCTCACTTACGATTTGTTCGCCACTCAGTCGTCCAAGGATTACCGCTGGAGACAGCGCCACGGGTCCTCCGAAGCCAGAAGGTTCTGTTACCGAGGTGAAGCCGAAGTTGAGGAGAGCGGAGATGGAGGCGGAGGGAGGGGGAGAATCAAGGTTGATGAGATGAGCCGAAGGAGGGAGGGAGCAGGAGAACGGGGAGGGAGGGAGAGCGGCAGCAGGAGGAGGAGGATGAAGAGGGGGATGAAGAAAGGTTGAAGGAGCCGAGGAGGGAGAGGGAGAGGTAGGAGGAGGAGGAGGAGGAGGAGGAGGAGGAGGAGGAGGAGGAGGAGGAACGAGTGAGGATGAGGAAATGAAGCCGTGGCGCGGAAGCGGTTGGAATGGAGACGGAGGAGGAGGAGGAGGAGGAGGAGGAAGAGGAGGAGGAGGAGGAGCGGGAAGGTGAAGATGTGAGTCGGCCGCTATGGTATGCGGTGGTCTCCTCCCTCCCTCTCCCATCCGTCGTCCATACCAATCCTCCTGTCGCTCGTCCTACTCATCTTCCGCCTCCCCATCCGTTTCCTCCTCCGTTTCCTCGTCCTTCTCCTCCTCCGCCTCTTCCTCCTCCTCTTCCTCCTCCTCCTCCTCCTCCTCCTCACCTCCCTACCCCATCCACCTCCTCCCTCCTCCTCCTCCGTAGCCTTTTGGGCTCAGGGCTTGCTCATGTCAAGGGGGCGGCAAGCCTCCTGGCATTCTTGGATGCCGCTGTTCCCGCGGCAGTCCGCGACCGCTTCTGCCACGGGAGTTGCGCGCCGCCTGGGCCGCGCGTGCCACTTGCCCTCGGGGACCAGGCGACGGAGCCCAAGGGCCGTGCAGAGGCGGCCACGGAAGTGGGCACTGCCGCTTCACAAGCGTGACACCACGGGCTAGCCGTGGTGGAGCGGCTCGGCGGCCCCGTCCTGCGGCAAGTGCGGCCGCGCCGGGGGCAGCTGCTGTTTGCCCTCCTCCTCCCCTCCCCCTCCTCCTCCTCCTAACTCCTCCTCCTACCTCCTCAGCTCCTTCTCCTCCCTCCTCCTCATCCTCCTTCTCCTCTCCTCCTCCTCCTTGTCCTTGTCCTCCTCCTCCTCCTCCTCCTCCTCCTCCTCCTCCTCCTCCTCCTCCTCCCTTCAAAGCGCCCAGGCACTGCGTCGAGGGGCCGCCGCGGCTGAGCAAGATCACAAAGCAGCGCGACGGGGCCCCCGAGCATTGCGACCAGGCCATCGAGGAGCGCGACTCGCTGCAGGCAGTGGGGACCGCGCGGCTGCATGATATCGACGCGGGCCCCGGCGACGCTCCCATGGCCGCCGAGGAGTGCGAGGTGCCCGTGTCCGATGAATCCATCCTCTCGGCCATCAAGGAGTTCGACCTTGACGTCCAGGAGGCCGCCAGCACCTGCGGAGCGACCCCCTCGGCGGCGGCCAGGAGGCAGCTGCTCGGCAGCCGGCGGTCCCAGCGCGCGGCCCCGCGGACAATTTGCGGGCCGCTAAGCCGATGGCGGAACGCATGCAAGACCTACCAGGCCGCACCAAACGCCATGAGGAAGGGATCGCGCGACAGGAGGCCAACTTGAAGAAGCACGACGAGCACATTACGAAGCTACAGGAGCAACGCAGCGGCACTGCCCAGCAGCTGCAGGTGCAGAAGGGCGAGCCGGTGGAGCCCCATGCCGAGATCCACACAAGCTCAGTCGCAGCCAGATGCTGCCGCCCGAGGCGCCGAAGCCGAGCGGTAACATCTCGCGGCGTGGCATCGATGCGGAGCGGTTCAACGCGAGCCTCCAGACGGCGCGCGACGTGACCAACGGTGACCACGTCGTCACCGAAGTGGCCGCCTCGGCTTCGCAGTTCGCCGGCTGGCAGCCAGGAGGAGGAGGCGGAGGAGGAGGAGGAGGAGGGAAGAGGAAGGAGGAGGGAGGAGGGAGGAGGGAGGAGGAAGGAGGAAGGAGGAGGAAGGAGGAGGGAGGAGCTCGCAGTGCCAGAGCGCTTGCATGTGGCATCAAGTCCTCGCGCGGTGCGAGGGCAGGCGGACCCCTGGCGCGGCGCGGTGCCCCGCCCGCCTGAGCGCGGGCCACTGCTCGCACAAGGGCGACCTCCACGTGGCGAAGCGGTGCTCAGGAGAAAGACGCAGACTGAAACGTCGATTCCCAGAAACACTGTTTTAAACCATAGGGGGCTTCCTGAGGGGAAGGCGAAGACCCCTAGGAGACAGGCAGCGACTCGGGAGAGTCCTCGGTGGTGCGCCTCTCCCTGGGCACCCGCCGGGCACCCGCCGGCCACGGCACTCCTCGGGCAGGCCGGTTCGCAAAAGCGGCGGTCCTGGCCCGCGGGGCAGCCTAAAACAGGGCTAGGATCGGGATAAATCGCTCCAGAGCGTTCCGGAGCGCTCTCAGAGCGTTCCGGAACGTTCTGGAGCGGCCGCGGCGCCCAATACATCCTCCAAACCCGCCGAATCTCAGAGATTTCGAGTTATCCCGATCCGATTTTGTCCCGATCTTCGCGTCGTTTTAAACCCGAACAGGTTGGCGCAGGGTCGCCACCAGCTCGTGCGCCGCGCCACGGGCTGGGTCTGCGCACGGCGCACGGCGGCGGCAGCGGCGGGCGCCGTCCGCGTGCGGCTCGAGCGCACAGAGTACCGCGCACTGCGCCCTCCTAGAAGCTCTTGGCGAGGCCTACCCATTCGTGGCCACCTCCTCCTGCTCTACCTCCTCCTCCTCCTCCTCCTCCTCCTCCTCCTCCTCCTCCTCCTTCTCCTTCTCCTCCTCCTCCTCCTCCTCCTCCTCCTCCTCCTCCTCCTCCTCCTCCTCCTTCCCCTCCTCCTCCTCAACCGCCCCCTCCTCCTCCTTCTCGGCTTGCGGTGCTCTGGGAAGGCCACGTGTCCAGATCCCGTGCAGGAAGCATTGCGGGTCCAAGCGCAGTCCCTCGCCTGTCAGCCGAGACCGTGGGTTTCGCCGAAGACCCGGTCATGGGCCTGGTTCTGACGATGAGAATGGTTCGGTGGAGGTTTCGGGCGGTGACGGTTGTGGTGGACGACTGGTGGACGGAGTGGGACTTTCTGTTTTATTCGCCTGGTTTCGTTGTGCAGCGTGTGGCCTAGTCAGCCTGTCGAGCGTCCGATCGGCGAACCCATCCCTTGCAGGAGGAGGATGGCCCGTGGGACTCCGGGCTCTCCTGGAAGCCAACTCTTGAGCTTCAGTTTGCTGTGACAACCGATGGTTGGAGTGATCATTCTCATAATGTGCTTAGGGGGCTGATTGCTGGGTCTTATTGGAATCAGGTGCTGGTGAATAAGCACCAACCTACGTTGCCAGACGCATGCGGCTTGTGCCAAGGTGTTCATGGGACCTTTTTTCCGCAGGGCCTTCCGTTGTCAAGCGCACGCGCCGTGGCGGCGTGACAACCTCGAAGGTCTAGTGGAGCGCGCTGGCAGAAAGGCTCAGACGGCGCCCCCTGTTGGCGCGAGCGCTTTGCCATGGGTCTCTTTCCCGATCTGGGTCAGTGTTTTCGTAGGCCAGAGTGTTCGCCCGAGTGGGAAGTCAAAGTCAGGGTTTTTTTGCTTCCGTGCAACTTGGAGGGAGGCTTTATTTTTGTGGACGGTTCTGGCTTTGAGAGGGATTGCCCCTCGATTCGGTGCTCTGGGTGGGCATGGGCATCTGTCCAGCACGATTCCGAAAGACGTTTCCAGGGAGCGATTTATAGAGTTGCCCCGCCATTTTGGGGGCCTCAGTAAGTAGCCAGAGACGGGGAAGACTTTGCAGTCCTGAAGGTGACTGTAGAGGAACCATCAGCTGTTGTGTGAAGCCTGCGATGGCGCAGGCACCTTCTAACGCTCGAGCTCATCTGTGGACTAGAGTCCACTCGCGGAAGGACTTCGTGCATCGGCCCTTCACTCAAGTCAAGGGGCGGACGAGTTTGCCAAGAAAGGAGCGTTGCAGGCTAGAGCAGTCGAGGCTGGTGTGTTAGCGTTGGAAGTTGTCCGTGTTGCGGGCAAGCAGGCTGCTGAAAGTAGATCGCTCGGCGCACAGCGGTGACAGTGGACGCGGGCCATCGGGATCACCAGGATCTTGATCACTTGAGGCTGGTGGACCTGGGAGAGCTGCCAGGGGAGTGGGCACCAGAGGCGCGCCGCTCTCGCCTGCCGCAGCGCCGCCAGCGAGCGCCGCAGTACGGTGGGGGGCGTTGGTCAAGGGATGTGCCCCGGAGGCTTCGGACCCTCCTCCTCCTCCTCCTCCTCCTCCTCCTCCTCCTCCTCCTCCTCCTCCTGCCGTGGACCTCCCTCCTGCTGGTGCTGCCTCCTCCTCTCCCCCTCCTCCTTCGACAGGGGCCTCGGCGGGGGCCCGGCTGCGGCATGGGGCCCGAGGCGAGGCTCTCATTCAGGAGGGGAAAAAACACACAGACACAATTACTCGTCGATGTTTGGGAAAATATGGGAAAATATGGGAATTGGGCGGGAAGACAAAAACCCAGAAAATATGGGAAAATATGGAGGATATTTTTATTTGTGTGTATTTATTTGTGTGTCCTGGGGCCCCTTCACTCATGGCACAAGTGGAGGGCACCTGGTATTTGGAATCGCCGCGGGGGCACAATCGGCTCTCCTCCAGAGGAGGGGCGTCGGGGCGCCAACTTCCCGCTAGAATTCAAGGAAACAGAGTCGTCGATCCTGTAGATTCGCACTGCGTCGTCAGTGGTGTCGGCGTCTTTTTCGTTACGACGTTGTGGTGATTCCAGATCGGTGAGGGCATCAAACACCTGATTCGCCAGTTGCTCCTCGTGTTGGCACCATGCGGTTCGTCGGTGCCAGAGAGGCCTCTAAGGGGCCATGTGTAGGCCCCCGCAAGCTCACGGGAGGAACCGCCGGCACGTCCCGTCTGAGGTTGCGGAGAGGCGAGCATCCCTCTCAGCACGCAGAGTTGTTTTTTGTTAGGTTCCTGTCCCCATCTCCAGCCACCCGAGCGTGCTGGTCCAGCCACTTTTGAGAGGCGTCCGATGACAGAACCGAAGCTCCCCGCACCAGCGTGCGAACGTTTGTCAAGCAGGAGACATCCGCGAGGATGGAGCTTTCGTCGGTGCTTCGGACTGAGCTCTCGAGAAGA